CCCCCCCCCCCCCCCCCCCCGCCTCCTCGTCACATCCCTCCTCTTGCTCGCTCCGATATATCCGCATTCCCGAGGCAATGTCCAGTATGACAGAGGGCCGGCACTTCTGGTATGTGTCCTGTCCTGGTGGCCAATGGCACTGACCCAGGGGCATGTAATGCTTAGGAAATTAATAAAATGCTTTCCTATATAATGATTCGCAAAAACCATCCGTTCCTGATTAATTTATAGTGCATCTAACGTATGTGACAAACTGTTGATATACTATTGATTGTAGTTTGATATGTGACCATTACTCTGACAGACAGGACATTGCGGTACTCCCATAAATCGTCTTGCGGTGAGCTTTTCCCCTAACCCTAACCCTAACCCCTCTCTATCCTGGTTTAGCTTTCTCCCTTGTTGGCAGTGGCTAACCCCTGTAGTTGCTCTGTCTAAAGTACTAAAGCTTCTGTCATCTTCACCCCCACCTCAACCCCGACCTCGCCACTCACTCATACCGGCCCTCTGCAGTAGCGCAAACACGTGCCAGAGTGCAGTAGACTTGAGCTGTGCCTGTTACTTTGTCAATCTGCTGCTTGTTATCGCCAGTAATGTCTATCCCTTGAATACACCTGCACACACACTGATGAACATCCATGCACACACACACACACACATACACATACATGCACGCGCACACACACACATACACACACACGCTTGTATCTCTACATGCACACGGCACGGTCCACGCTAAATAACCCTGTGCTCTAAGCCACCCAACATTCTAAGTGAGAGGCTTTCTCAGGAGTGTAGCTTGCGATGCAGGTAAGGTACCTGGCGTCTGACCCTCTGTGATGTGGTGGCGACAGTGCTGTGGTTTGCGGACCGAGGATGGGGGGGGTGTGGGGTGGGGTGGGAGGGGGCTGTCCTGTCTCAAACAAACTGTTGTGCCTCTCTGGGGGAAGGGGGTTCTTACTGTGGTGATCACCTGCCCCAGATCAGCCTATTGTAGAGGAATGTGACCAATGTCAAGCTGATTTGCCCCGAGGCCTACAGTGTGCATCCCGTACTTCTGTGTTGTGTGTTTTAATGTCACCTTTGCGCCATGTTTGTGTAAAAGCTCAGTCATCCTAATCACACTGTTTTGGTTGTCACCCATGTATGGAGCAAACCAAAAGTAGCTGCATTTTCTCTGAGGTGGCTAGTTTGCTGGGGCAGGTCACTTGGCAGACATCTCCTTGGTCACAGATAAAACAGCCTGTGCTATATAGTGTTCGTGTTTGTGGGGGTTTTTTTGTGTAACTTTTTTCCTCCCATCCCCCTCTACTGTCCTAACCCTTCTTCATCCATTTCTCATTCCTTTTATTTTCCCCTCACTCTCCCCCCCCTCCCCCGAATCATCCTCCTCCCTCCCCCCACTCCTCCAATGCAGAGGCTGAAGGAGCTGAAGCAGAGGGAGTTTGCTCGCAACGTGTCGTCACGTTCGCGCAAGGATGAAAGGAAGCAGGAGAAGATGCTGCGCCGGCTGCACGAGCTGGCAGAGCAGCGCAAGCAGCAAAACCAGTAAGGATGCACTTACCCCCTGTGGTCGGGGTATTCCTGTCTATGCCAGGGGTGGCCAATCTTATCCGCAAAGGGCCGGTGTGTGTGCGGGTTTTCGCTGCGACTCCCTAATTCGATTACTAATTAGAGGACTGATTGGCTGAAGAGTCCTCACACCTGGGTTTGAACAGCTGACCTAAAGGTTACCCCAAAAACCTACACACACACCGACCCTTTGTGGATAAGATCGGCAACCCCTGGTCTATGCCAACGGATCAAAAGCTGCTGTATAGCACTGCAGCCATGCTAATCAGAAACTTAGTTTTTATTTTGTATAATTCCCTGTCTTTTTTTTTTCTTCTTTTCAGAACTCCTGGCAGTGGGCCAATGTTTAAAGCCACTACTGTAGCTGTAGATGGGGAAAACAGTGAGTCAGGGGTCCCTAATCCTGAGTGCACATCTGTTGCAGACAGTGTGCCAGAAGGGCTGTTAGGGGAAGACAAAGCGCTCTCCAGTTCTGGGCAGCTTACAAGTTCTGCGTCACCCAAGCAACCATCGATCAGCTTCACTCTGGGCAAGAAAAATTCTCCCGTGACTCCGGCAGTGGTGCTACCGAAACTCAGCGTGTCCTTCTCCTTAGCCAAAAAGGCACCGGTGAAGCTTGAGACTGCTGCTGCTGTGTTTGCTGACCAGGGGGAAGAGGAGGCCCTCGAGGAGGAGGGACAGGAGGAGGCCTTGGCCTCCAACAGGGAAAGCCCAAGCAATGGACCTCCTGAAGAACAACAGCAGCAGCAGGAGCAGCAGCAATCTGATGAGGGCGGATCTTTAGCCTCCACCCTTTCCAAGTTGAAGACGATGATGATGAAAAAAGAGGAGGGTTTATCCGGGCTGGAGCCCCAGTATTACCACTACGTGCCGCCAGCTCACTGTCGAGTCAAGCCCCACTTTCAGTTTCTGCTTTTCATGAAGGCCTCAGACCAAACTGGGATTCAAAAGCAAGAAGAGGCTGTTGAAACGAAGCTTGAGGACAAACAACCCAAAGCTACTGCTGGTAAGTCGGAGAAGCCAGACAAGTCTGAGACCCAGAAAGCCCCAGTGTCTGAGTCTCCAGCCAACCTGCCCAGTGTGAAGGTGGAGGCCCAAGGCATGGAGGACTTCCCTGAAAGCACTGTACCCAAGGAAGTCCCTACTGACTGTCTCCAAGGAGCCGCTGAATCCTCCCAAGGGCCCCGGCTCTCTACTGGTGCCTTCTTCTCTGTCCTAAGCAAGGATGACAGCACCGTATTGCAGTGGCCGTCAGAATTGCGGGAATTCACTCGCACACAGCCTTCGATATCCTATAGCTGCAATCCTCTCTACTTTGACTTCAAGCTGTCCCGCCACAAAGGGGCCCAGAGTGGGAAACAAGCTAAAACAATGAAGTCCGGTGTGGAGGACAGTGATGGATCCAAAGCAGTGACTAGCAAAATGGAGACAGCTGGGCCAAGTGCAGTCAAGAACGATGATACTTCCATGAAAGAAGAACCAACTGAGGGCGAGAAGGATGGGCAGTCGCAACCAAACAGTGCTGCTTCCATGAAGAAGAAGAAGAAAAAAAAGAAACATAAGAAACCTGGAAAGAGTTCTAAGCAAAAGGAAGAGGGGAAGGAAGTTATTGGAGAGGAAGCAGAAACTTCATGTCAAAAAGAAAAGAAGAAGAAACATAAATGTAAGAAGAGTAAGACCAAAAAGTCAGGTGAGGAAGAAGAGAAAGGCGGGAAGGATAAGGAGTCTGCTGAGGTACTGGTAGCTGGGGCAGTAGAGGGTACCGGGGCTAGGAAGCGGAAACGCCCCATCAAAGTAGAGGCACAGAGGCCTGGGTCGGGTGAGGGGGCAGTAGGGAAAGGTCCTGGGAAAACCACTTCCTCAGATGAGCTCAATGGTACCAAGAAGCAGAGATCAGATCCTGATGCTACATCCCCACATGCTACCAGCATGATTAGCACGTCCTCCACCTCGGTGCTGAAGTTGCCGAGCAGCCGGGAAAGGCGTGACAGTCGGCACCTTAGCAGTGAGAGTGACGAGGAGAGGCGCTCCTCATCCCCCCAGCGTTCTCGTCGCCACCGGTCCACCCCTCGACACCGCCGGCGCCACAGCGAGGATTCTGGACGCTCCCGGAGCCGCTCCTCTCGCCGAGGGGGGCGCCACAGCCGGTCCTCATCCAGCAGTTCGGATCAATCCTCGGATGGCGGCAGCCGCTCTAGTCGCCGTACCTATTCGGACAGCTACAGCGACTACAGCAATGAGGGTAGGGGGCACTCTAAGCACTCCTCTGACTCTGATTATGAACGACGGGGCAGCAGTCGGCGCCGGTCCGACCGTCATCGCTACTCCTCCTCCTCGTCGGCTGATTCGAGCCGCTCACGGAGCCGCAGCCGTCGGCGCCGTCGAGCCCGGCACAGCAGCTCACGGAGCTCCAGCAGCAGTAGCAGCAGGCGCTCCTGGAGGAGAAGCAGTTACAGTCGGAGCCACAGCTCCGCCAGCCGCTCCCCTTCCAGCAGGGGCTCTTCACGCCGACGCCGGGACAGCTCTCCTCTTCGGCGGGAATTCAACCGCTCCCGCATCTACCGCTCACAGTCGCCTCGCCATTCCCGTGCATCAGGGCACAAGAATCTCTCCCGGAACAGTATTCGTGGCACCTCCTCAACGCAGAGAGTCAGTGCTGCTGGGGGGTCCAGAGGTGGTAGTGGGGCTATTGCGCAGAGGAATTCCCTAACAGCCCGGCAACTGCTGGAGAATGTGCAGTCCCGCAAGGGCTTGGGTGATTCCGCAGCTAGAGCAAAAGCAGGCCTCAAGCTGAAAAATCCCCCACAGGGATATTTTGGACCCAAGCTCCCTCCATCCCTGGGGAGTAAGACCATGCTCCCATTATTTGGCAAGCTGCCAGCTGGCAAGAAGCCCCCACAACCCTCTATGCAGCAAGCAGAGGAGGCAGAGAAGAATGTTAGTAGTGAAAGTACAGAGGCCGGGGGAGACGTAGTCTTGGTGGAGCCTATTAGAGAGTTTCCTCCACCACCTCCTGTCCCTGTGTCAGCACCACAGAAACCCGAGGAGACTGTAGAGAGTGCTCTAACTGAGGAGGTCCAACATCCTAATACAGAAGAACAGGCATCCACTAGTATTCCATTGTTTGAGCAGAATTCTGGGCTGTTAGTCCAGCCATACCAGGGGGAACCTGTAGAGGAGGGAGCCACTTCCATGCTCGAGCCACAACATACACCCCAACAGCAGCAAGCCCTGTATCCGAGATACCCGCCTTCCTGCCTAGAGGAAGATATGGGTTTGGAGACTGAAGATGGTGACTCGTTGGCTCCCTTGGAGAGCCAGCCCATCACCTTCACTCCCGAGGAAATGGAGAAGTACAGCAAGCTGCAGCAGGCAGCCCAACAGCACATTCAGCAGCAACTGCTGGCCAAGCAGGTGAAGTCCTTCCCTCCTTCGGCCGTGGCCGTGGCTGCAGCAGCCCCTGCCGCTGCACTCCAGCCAATTCACATCCAGCAGCCTCCCGCTTCTGCCTCTTCTACCTCGATAACCACGGTGCAACATACACTCCTGCAGCACCATGCTGCTGCTGCGGCTGCTGCCATTGGCATTCATCCTCATGCCCCCCACCCTCACCCACACCAGCTGGCTCAAGTACACCACATCCCCCAGCATCACCTCACGCCTATCTCCTTGTCCCCACTTGGTCATTCCCTGGGACACACACTGGGCCACTCTCTGGGCCATGCCGGGCTCATTCCCGCCCACCCCACTGCCTTTCTCTCGGGCCAACCCATCCACATTATCCCGGCTTCAGCCTTGCACCACACCCCCTTGGCCCTTCATCATGTGCCCCATGCTGCCCTCTACCCAACACTCCTCACTCCCCGCCCTGCCACAGCGGCCGCCGCTGCCGCCCTGCAACTCCATCCCCTCCTGCATCCCATCTTCTCGGGACAAGACCTTCAGCACCCTCCAGGTCACGGGTCTTGAGAACTATGAGGTTTTTCACAGAAAAGGCTTTTGGCCGTCAGCCCTGGGGGGAGATGCATCCCTATGTCTCCCCTCATTTGTTTGCTTTCACTTTGATGTTTGGTCCAAAAATTGATCAGCCTGAAAAGGCAACTGAAGTGACCCAAAGCAGTCGGGTTCCCGATCTGGTCCTTGAGACTGAACCGGTTGTGTGGAAACACTGCAGCCCATTGCTGTTGAGTCAAGGATTGAGCTCACCAGAACCCTTGGTCTCTCTTCCCAGATGAATAAGGAGTTGAATGTGACAGATGTCAGTGCAGTACTGTTTGTGTCACCCTGCAAAGAGCCAGAGGATACTTTGTGGTCTTACAAGCTGCAAAATTTGCCTAACTCTGTTTCTTAGAATCACAGAGAGGCAGCAGTTGAAACCACCTATGCGGTCTGTTATGTATTGTATTGGGAAGGCAGTCCCCCTACCCAACAGCTGTCCCTGACTCAAACACCATTAGCGCTATCCTTTTTCAGTAATGAAATGGCACATCTGGAAAGATTTTATTGTTCCAAAACGTCATTGTTATTCCACCCTTCTCCCTTAGTTTCCTTTTATTCTGAAGCGAAGTGTTATTGCGGTTCTGGAAATGTAAAGGAGGAACTTAAAAATCTGTCTGAGGATATTTTGTATCAGGAACATGATCCACTCCTGGAAACTCAAATTGGCATGAAGAACTGAAAGTGCAAAGTACTGTGCTGTAGTCGTATTGCAGTTACAAATGAGGGAACCATGGCCCAGAACAAAGTACTAACCATGGTAGAGGGAATATATGGTTTTGTTCAAAAATGTAAATTGGGTGTTGGGAACTGCAGTGATATCTGGGCAGTTAATAACCAAGTTGAACTGACTTTCCTTATGCCACTAATCCTCTACTGTGAACATGCACAATGACACAGGAAAACATTTGTGTCAGCAGCCACATTATAGTGAATTGCACTGAAATCTCCACATTAACATGCTGCTTTGATAGCATGTAACAATATGATTGTAGTAATTGCATTTTTTAAATGTTGTTTTTAAATTATTTCGAGAATGACATTTGATTGAAAGAACGTGTGTATGTGTGTGACTGGGACATTAATGACACCATTATGCTGTAACACGTATTTTTTATAATGGTTCAGTGGTTAGAGAAGTTTATCTGATTCTGATAAATGCTGCCAGATTTGGGGGGGATCTTGTAAGCAAAATACCAGGATCACTAATGATGTGCTAATTGGCTGGATGATGGTAAAACTTGAAAAATTGCTTTGTGGTGGGGGGGTGACTGTCACCCTTCCCCATCCACCCAGATTCAGTCGTTATCGACTGTGCTGAACCTAGAGAGTGAGTCACTGATGGGTGAGCCCATTTGCCAGTAGGACAGCCCACCAGAAAGAACCACGTGGGTTTAACTGAGATGAACACAATGGAAGCAACATCACAAGGCTGTGTGTGTGTGTGTGTGTGTGTGTGTGTGTGTGTGTGTGTGTGTGTTAATAAACCTGTTAAAAATACTTGAGTATTTTTAATAAAAATATGTATGGTAATTCTGTGGCCTGGTCCTGTAATGTAATTTGTACACTTTGCAGTTTCAGTATTCCAGAAAGTTCCAGATTTATTTTCCCATTAGAATTTTCTGAACAGCACTCTCCTCGTATCTTGTTTGCTTAGCCGACACCACTGGACTGCTGAAAGGCCTCTGGGCCCCAGCCGTATGTCAGAGAAAATGCAGAGGTCACGGCCCTTAACTTTGACACACTGCGCATCTGAGACATCTGTGAAATGTTCCCCTCTGCGGAGTAGCGCCACAAACAGGCGGGTCGTCTTCTGCAGCGCAGAACCCACAATGAGGGTTCAAGTCACAAGTAGACACTGTGAGAAGCTGAGTGGCAGACGCAGACACGCATGCATTTGCCATCCCTGGGGCGTTTCACTTTTGATCGTCATCTGTTATACGTATAGTAACAGATCGGTTGATTTAATATCAATACACCTCCAATTTACACCTCACATTAACTCTTGGCCACTGTGGTTATGTTTCTACTGAATGAGATCAGTCTAATATTAGCATATTAACAGAAACCGTGAAAAAACCACTTAAGATGCATTCGGAGCTCCTGGTCAGATCCCGCAAGCTGGATCTGTAACTCTGTATAATTATTAATTAGGATAAAATGTGGAACCTGCCTGAAATTTGACATATTCTAGCCCTATTATTGTGTCTTTAAGTACGCCCTGTGATGGACTGGCATCCCATCTGGGGTGTTCCCGTCTGAGCTAAGCTCGATGTACCGTCCCCAACAACCCTGTACTGGATCAGCGGTTGGAAGCTGCATGGATGGGGTATAGCAATAGTAAATTCTTCGTTAGTTTGTTCAGTTTGCTTTCAGTTTCTTCATTTTTTCAGCATCCTTCCCAGAAGCAGAAACCGGATCTTCGACTTCGAGGATTTACCCCACCATGTGTTACAAGAAGCTTTGACTTACACAAGTTACTATAGGTAGCATTTATTGATCAAATTCAACAATAAAAAACAAACTATCAAAATATCAACACTTTAATATAATAAACTTGGTCTACACGCAAGGTTCTATATATTTATGAAATGTATGCGGTATTTTCATATAAATGTATTTATTTTAAACATTACATCACTCATGTACCTCCAACCTTAACTTCGATATTGATTTGTATGTCCATTTATATTTTAAGTATATTTTATAGTATAAAATGCTTATAGAAATAATATTTTGGGCAAAACATTACAAATTGATTTACGAGAAGTTAAAAAAAACCTGTTACACAAGGACACCACCTGAATGCGGATGTATGCGCAGAATGGAGAATATTATGCGCTGTGGCGTCATGTGGCTTTTGGCTAATTGTAACCCGAGAGATTCGCTTTGCAAAATATAAGACCTTGCAATCAACCCACTTGTTCGGGGTCTTGGTTGTGGCGGAAAAACAAACGACATAAAAGGGGGGAAAGGCCATTTGTAACGTCGCCCTCCCCACAGCTTCCCGAAAGTACACCTAACTGGAATCGTTCACACACCGAGACATCGCTTTAAGATTAAGGTGTGAGTTTCGAATTTGCTGGTCACGATGCTGACGAGCTTGACTTCTTGTGCATAAAAACACGCAATCATGCGAACCATCTCCACATAACAACGACATTACAACCTTATAAATTCATATGCATCACCTGGCTTAGCATAACGCTTTCCCAACTCAAACGTTAATATTTCGGAACATCTGCAAGAGACCGGAAAGCATAATTTAGGGTGGGGACAGGAAAATTACAACATCAGGAATCTTGCATTCTATTGGAAACCCCTGAAGCGGTCTCTCGAGTCCACCTCCCACAGAACGCGGTCGTGCTCGGTGATACGCCACAATTCTGAGTGGGCGGTGCTTCTCCCATTGAGGACCATCCGATTGGACGGGTTTTGCGAATGAGCGGATCTATGACGCGACACTCTGTGGCTCGTGAAAGACGCCATTTTGTCGGTAACGGTGAAGTAGAGTGCTAGAGAAAGATCGAGAAGCAACAGCTCTGAGGTAATTATAAATTGGCAGTTATCTGTATTACCTTAGTATAGGTAGGTTTTATCTTCCTGTGTTTTTATGTACTATATTTGGCCTCCACTGAGTTTTGTTTGACTGGATGTAGTCTGATATTGTTACTGACTCTTCTAGCGACACCCGAGAAGGGTTATGTGTGTACCTGATGACATTTACGGGATAGCCAGCTGTGTAGTCTTAAGCACTTTTTGGAACCTATAATGTTAAGCACGGTATAGTGGTTATATCTAACGTATATTTGGTGTATTTAACCTGCAGTTTGTTTGGTCAACACATTAAAAGTGACTGCAGGAGTGAAATGTAAGCTAGTCACGTTTGTTCTTTACGAGCCACTTGCGTAACTGATGATCTGAAGGCCAGGATAACGAAAACCCTTCATGTTGCGGCCCTACACATTAACTTGAACAAGAATCGAATAGTAATCAGGGTATCGTCATTGTTTATTTATTACCGTGTTGTAAGATATAGGTCGTCGGTCGCTCTCGATAGCTGGGAAATATGGTGTCACCATGAGTGTGGTGATGAAGCTTGTAGGATTTGAGGCCCAGTCCTTATAGCCATAGGCGAACTAACCTTCGCCTACAAAGTGCTAGTTAATTAACTTTATAACCATATAAATGAGAAGTACATCATCTTGGTTTACTTACATCGCCGGCTAAGCAAGCTGTCAGCATTAATTCTCTGAAAGTAACTTCACCTGACACCAGTAACAAGACCATATTAACAACCGAGTTTTTTTTATCCCAAGATTGTCTTGATTATGCCACGTATTTATGTTTTCTGGTTACCGATTTCTTTTGTGTTTTCCCTTATGATATATTTTAGGAGCCGCTGAACATCCTGTTTCATTTCCTTTTGGTGTTTGCTTCCTTGGGCCGAAGTTTGTCGTAGTCCAGGGGTCTTGAATGGTATACAGATGACCATATACACATTTAGTAGTCTAGGTTACTGTGCTTCTTTTCAGCAAGACAATAGCTGAGCTCAGGGCGCCTTAGTGGATACATATCAATGTCATGCTTTTCCACGGTTACCTAATGTTTACTGTAAATATGTCTTTCCTAAGGATTTCATTGTGTTTTCCCAAATGAGATGCACTGTTTTATTTGAATGTCTTTGGGGTTCCTGAGGTGATCTGATCTTTATTTGCATTAGCTCCTTAAGTGTGAAGTGTACCAGTGCATTGCAATATTTATTTTTTTTATAATTCTGACACACTTGTCCCTTGTAGATACTCTTTATTGGGTTGTGAAATATTATGTACTTTTAACACATCTTCTCCAGTGCCACTTTGCTCACATTAAACAGTTTTGAATGTTTGCCAAGTTGCCTGTTATAAAGGGGTTTGAAATTAAGGATACCAAGGAGAGGAATTTGAGGTGTTGAACTGGCAACCTAGTTACAAGTCTGGGTCTTTAATCTATATATTGCTGGCTTTATTGAATATAAGACCAAGTCACACTCTTATGTTGCATAATTCAGTAGAGTGATATTTCTGTGCTTACTTTGTAGAAATTATAGGTTTGGTAATTGTGATGTTCACTGCAGAGTTGAAGATGGAGAATGGTTAGTTTTGGTGACATACAATACTTGACATGGTGATGAATTCAGTGAATCTCAGGGAATAAGGGTATATTAGCCAGCATAAGAAACCTGAGCTATCGGAACGGTCAGGCCGTTAAATTGTCCTGTTTTCTTCCTGTTAGCATCAGGGTACTAACAGTTGTGTGTATTAAAGGTCAAAAAAATAGTTTTGACGACTTCACTGAAGTGTGACCATCATACTGGAGCAAAACATGCACAGCTCCTGTCTTTATTAGGTTATGTCAATAATTAATTTGTAGGGACCTCATTTATTCATGAGTGCCTGAATTGAGAACTCGAGTAATGATGCAGTTCCATATCAAAGATCACATTCTTAGAACCAGTTGACTATCCTGTTACTCATCAGCATTATAATTCATATTTGTTGGCTTGGGTGGTGATGATCTTTAGTGGGTGGGGGGATGTTACGAATATCTGTCGTCAGCGTTTAACATATATGACAAATTCATCACTAGACTCATCCAGTGAATTTAAATAGAAGCTAACCTGTTAATAATGTTTATTGGTTGAATCCTTAACAAAACATACATGGGGAAGAACAGCTTTAAATGGGTTTTTTTTTGTAATAGTTATTTTTAAATTTGGTAGATTCCCCCCCCCCCGTTCAGTCTGAAACTGATGGGTATTGTTGATGTTAATGTAGGATACAGTGGACTGCAAATATGGTACAACTTTCTGGCTTCTTTAGTTATTTTCAGTTGTGTATTAAATACTAATTTCTAAGTTAGAACTTTGATGACTGTCAGTTCTTTCACAGTTCTGCTTTTTCCACCCATACTGACAATGAAAGCTATATTTCAGTATAACTATCCAGTTTTTGAGTGGGTTAACTGTTTCAAGAAAACCTTTGTTGCGAATGTAAGAAATATGGTTTTAATTTATAAGTTGAATTCATCTGTAAATTGACCTGCTGATCTTATGCAATTTTGACTGGTTATTGTATGGGCAGCATATATGTATCTGGCATGTTAACTGTTGGATTTTTGTGTTCAGTTTTTATTCAGTAAATTTAACTTTACCTTGGCGTGCTGGCTTGGTTGTCTTTGTCTCTCTGGCTGTCTTGTAAATAATTCAGTCAGCTGGATTACTTTGCAGGTGTAGTTCATTCCACTTCATATTCACATCAGTTACTGGGAGATTTTTCTGACCATAGCTACTTAGTTGTGCCTTTCTCTTCCTCAGTAACATTGAGCAGTAGAAAGCAAGGGTTCTTTGATTACACTGAAAACCAAAATGGGTTCTTTAGTGTGAAATTATCTAAAGCAGTGATTGTGAAGTATGACTGATATCGACATCTTTAAGTAACACGGAGTATTGTAAAATGAGTTTCCCTGGAGAAGGAGCCATGTGATCTTAGTCAGCCAG